CCTGGCCTCAGCTCGGCGAGGTGGACGAGCTGCGGACTCAGCTGCCTGGCTCGGACTCCCGGCCCGGCTCGAGACCCCCCGGACTTGCTCGAGATTCCCGGACTTACTCGAGACTTCCGGACTTGCTCGAGACTCCCGGACTTGCTTGGGATTCTCGGGCTTGCTCGGGACTCTGGATTCGCTCGGGACCACCGGACTCGTTTGGGACCCGAACTTCTTCAGGACCCCGGGCTAGCTCGGAACTCCTAGACTAGCTCAGGATCCCCGCACCTCCTTGGGACTCCCGGGCTAGCTTGGGACTCCTGGACTAGCTCAGGATCCCGGACTCCCTTGGGGCTCCCGGGCTCGCTCGGGACTTCCGGACTCGCTCAGGACTCCCACACTCACTTAAGATCCCCGGACTCCATTGGGACTCCCGGGCTAGCTTAGGACATCCGGATTCGCTCGGGACTCCCACACTCGCTCAGGACTCCCACACTCACTCAGGATCCCCGGACTCCCTTGGGACTCCCGGGCTCTCTCAGGATTCCCAGGCTCGCTCGGTGGAGTCCCGGTAGGCCTGTCGCGCCACTAGGCTGATGATGATGGGGCGCGGCACTAGCCGCCGCACCCCTTGGCTGGTTACATGGTGTGGCACTAGCCGCCGCACCCCTTGGCTGGTTACAGGGTGCGGCACTAGCCGTCGCACCCCTGGGCCGGTGACGGGACGCGGCTCTGGCCGTTGCGCCCCTGTGGCCCTGGTCGTCCTGGGGGGCCCGCCGCCTCTCCTCAGTCCCGCCGGTGTCTACCTGCTTTTCTGACATCACCGGGCGGCTGGTAACCATCAGCTGCAGTCTTTTCTGACGTCACGGGGCGTTTGGTAACCGTCAGCTGCAGTCCGCTCTGACGTCATGGGGCGTTTGGTAACCGTCAGCTGCAGTCCGCTCTGACGTCATGAGGCGTTTGGTAACCTCAGCTGCAGTCCGCTCTGACGTCACGGGGCGGCTGGTAACCGTCAGCTGCAGTCTATTCTGACGTCACGGGGCGGCTGGTAACCGTCAGCTGCAGTCCGCTCTGACGTCACGGGGCGTTTGGTAACCGTCAGCTGCAGTCTGTTTCGAATGCTCGTCTTTACAGCCTTGGTCAATACGTTTTAGTGATATTAGCTGTGTCGCTGCTGGGTACGCACGCTGTGGACTTTGCAATGGCCCTTGCCAATGTGGCTAAAGGCCGGCCACATTCCGCGTTATTTATTATCATGGGCTCGTCGTGAAAGTCGTGCAATACCTCGTCGACAAGAGAAGCATGCAAGCACAAATATTCATTGGTGCATCCAAAGAGACAATGGAGCCACGACGTCCCAAAGGCGTTGCACACTGCATGTTTTTATCGTCCCCTTCCCTCGGATTCCACGTGGGATTCGTCCATGCGAACATTTATACGTCAACAATAACGTGTTCAGCGACCCACAAAGAGCATCGTTGGAGATACACGAATAGCAGCCGCCTGTATCCTCGTGTGCTGTACCGCCCAACGTTGACATACTGCGGTACAGTCTACCACAAAAATCGGTGGAGACTTCAACGCAAACGATATTGGAAGCCGCGGCCGCAGCGTTGTGTACCAAATACGCTCACAGTAAAAATTGTTTGAAGCTGTTCACACCCTGAGCGTCTGGAGTACGTGCCAGATTCACGGGTCACTACCGTATTTGAAAGCGAACCTCGCGGCTCCTCTAATGCCTAACTGGACGTCAACTCTGGACAGACGAGTTTGGGGCTTGTGAGCAGCCTTAGCCGTACCATATGACACGTGATTGCCAGCGGTGCACTGCGATTCTGATATTTGAAGATGCTTTCTGCAGATAAGGTGGGTTTCTAGGCCATGAGCGAATTATGTTATTTGCGTTTTGGAACAATTGTGGTAAGCAATTTCCAATTCGAGATTGTCACTGGACATCGTGAACGAATACCCTATTGCAACTCTGGCTGATGATAGGCCACGAATGAAGGCGCCGTCCAGTGGGACGGTGACTTGAAAACGAAAGCGCTGACCTGGTCAACTTTGTGGCGCCCATTCTGATGCTTACGGCCACTGTGCGCCACGCTTTCAACCGAAACACGTCATGACTCATTACTATGTCAGCGGCAGTTTTAGATTGCGTCGAACTACCACAGCGCAAACTGGTGACCTTTAGATAACTTCAGGCTATGTCGGCCCCTTTGGATCGTGACAGCTCAACTAGATAAGAAAATAGCAATACAGCATGCACCTGCACTCCGTGTATCAATAGCAAATGACGCCGATGAGAAGCCCACGAATAATATCGTCAACTGCCCAAGGCGGTTCATGAATGTCATATCCGGATACTGGCCGCTCAGAAACTCCGCGTACTTATGTTCACTTCTCGTCAGACCTTTGGGACAAGCCGGGACGTGGTCGACTGCTCGGAATCCTAACGAATTAGTTAACTGTAGGCCATAATAGTCGGCTGGAAGCGTCATTTGCTCTCCAAATCGCACCCCGTGATTACGTCATGAGAACTGCTCCGAATATCTCGCTAGGATTGCCACCACCCCCATTCTCGGAATTCACACTCATGAATTACTGCCTCGCAAAACACTGCGATGACGAATGGCTCAGTTATTCGCCATTTAGATAGCGTTATCCCCGTGCATTAATTCTGCGCCGCGCCTCCGCTGGCCTGCGGAACTGGCACCGCGGTCGACACCGACACGGCGGACACCGCGAAGCCCTCCGCCGACCGCCGCCTACATTTTAGATCGTAATGTTGTTTACTTTACTTTTCTGGCCGGACGTACGCTTGTAAGTTACGTGCTTTGAATAGTAATATATTGCTTCGTAGATCATTTTAAAGAGCTGTGGTGCCGCATTGTAGCCTACCGTGGTTCATTGGTTGCACCGGAGTCGCTGGAAGATATGAATAACTTCCAATATTGAGCCATTTTTTTAGCTGTGCCGTCACCTTTTTCCCCTGAAGAATATTGATCTCATCTCAACTATCGTACTAGAAGTATGGATGTTCCCAGAAATGCCGTGGAGGCTCGGTGTGATTTTAATGACGCAAGGCAGTACTGCTGGCCTTCTTTCTCGTCGAATAGCTAGAAGAAAGGAGAGGTAGATTTATACATACATATATATATATATATATATATATATATATATATATATTGGCTACGTGCTTTTGTCAAGTTATTCGCTGCCAGTTGTCATCGTTGTGACAAAAGCATGTGGCCGAAGTATTTATTCATCTATCTCTCCTTTTTCGTGATCGTTTGACGAGGAATGAGGCAAAGAGTACTGCCTTACATATATTTTATGTTCCTCGCAGGCGCACTGAATAGTTGGAATAATAATGTAGGTCTAACACAAGTAATATTGGTTCAGCCAGGTATTTGACAGACGTGCGCTACCTTCTTCAAAACTGGTGAGCGTGCTTCTAGATAACTGTAGTAAGTCTTGATTTATCGTCGCAAATATGTAAATGTTACACACACACGCGCGCGCACGCACACGTACAAGCACACGCACACACACACGCACACGCACACGCACACGCACACGCGCACACATACACACATGCACATAGATAGATAGATATATAGAGAGAGAGAGAAAGAGAGAGAGGAGAGAGAGAGAGAGAGAGAGAGAGAGAGAGAGAGAGAGAGGAGAGAGAGAGAGAGAGAGAGAGAGAGAGAGAGAGAGAGAGAGAGAGAGATATATATATATATATTATATACTATATATATATATATATATATATAACGCAATTATATACATATATCATATTTATATATCATATATATATATATATATATATATATAACGCACAATTATATACACTATATCATATTTATATATCATATATATCTATATATATATATATATATATATAACACTGAAACACATCCCTATATTCTCTCGCAGCGAGTTTCACAATGCAGCGGCAGCATCTTCAGGGCGAAAGAAACAAACGTAACGCAACCATCAAACAAAAACACTCAAGACGGAACATGGGCCAATCCAACGAGAACGCACAAGACGGAAACAAACCAATCTACAAGAGCACGTACAAGCGGAAAAAAACGCACTACAACGAGAACGCACAGGACGGAACGTAGCCAATCCAACGAGAATGCTCAGGACGGAAACGTAACCAATCTACCGAGAACGCACAAGACGAAAACGGAAGCAATCCAACGAGAACGCATATGCAGTACCACAAAATCCATCCCCAGAATTATAGATCAATTTCACTTTACTACTACAATGTGTGATGGAAAAGACGTGTTAGTTGGTGAGAGACGATTTCTAAAATATAAAATGGTTCTGAAATTCTGAAATCCGATGCAAGATAGGTTCCTTTTCCGGAGGGGAAATTGTCGGTAGGGCAACAATCGGCTGACCTTAGCGCGAAGTAAAACATAATATTTTTATGCTAGGACATCGTGGACATCACACCTTTCTTGAGGCTTTGCGGCTTAATTAATGCTACGCAGTACACTTTGGACCTCGGTCTCTAATTCAAATAAGTTTCAAGTATGTTACAAAGTTCACTTTATGTCGCCAAATATGGTGCTTCAGTTAAGCTTAATGTTTGAAATACATTTTGCATGAAATATGAATGGTAAGACTGACTCTCCTGAAGAGCACATGTTTTCCGATCTATAGTGAACTTGACGACATATTGCATTGTATTGCAATTTGAGGCCGAAGTCAAAAATGTACCGTATTCATAACATTGCGCTTTGACCTGAAATACAAACTGACTGCTGGTCGCCCATTGCAGTTGTTGTGTCTGGCTTTTTGATGCCGTCATCTTGTTGTTAGGATTTAAATTGTATCACTCGCTGCACGATCTTTCTCAGAACGGCAATAGACATTTGCACGTGTGCTCAAAGCTGGGAAAATTAGCTCAAATCACTTCAGTCTCTGAGTTAATCGAGCGTCCACCTGTGCATTCTATCACGTCTCACCAGGCGATGGGTCACTTTCAGCTGGACCACCGACGAATGGGGCGCGTGCAGCGCTTCCTGTGACGGTGGCCACAAACTGAGGAGGGTCTGGTGCTCGGAGACGGCCAACAACACCCTGGTGCAGGTACGTCGGCACGGACAGCGTGCTTCTCGGTGTCCAAAACCATCGCTGCCGCCCAGAGACTGTCCTGACCGGACGTGCATAAGCATGTCTTACCGTTCAGAGACCAGCGCTATCTGCCTCCCGCGGATACCAAGGTGCGTCTCCCGGAGGACCGGCTCTCTCTGCCGCCCGCGGCGACCAAGCCGCGTCTCCCGGAGACCGGCTCTCTCTGCCGCCCGCGGAGACCAAGCCACGTCTCCCGGAGACCGTCCCTCCCTGCCGCCCGCGGAGACCAAGCCACGTCTCCCGGAGACCGGCTCTCTCTGCCGCCCGCGGAGACCAAGCCACGTCTCCCGGAGACCGTCCCTCTCTGTCGCCCGCGGCGACCAAGCCGCGTCTCCCGGAGACCGTCCCTCTCTGTCGCCCGCGGCGACCAAGCCGCGTCTCCCGGAGACCGTCCCTCTCTGTCGCCCGCGGCGACCAGCCACGTCTCCCGGAGACCGTCCCTCTCTGCCGCCCGTGGCGACCAAGCCGCGTCTCCCGGAGACCGTCCCCTCTCTGTCGCCCGCGGAGACCAAGTCAGCGTCTCCCGGAGACCGTCTCTCTCTCTGCCGCCAATAGCCGCGGTAGCTCATCAGGCCCGTATCGGGCGCATCAGCCCCACCATCGCGCGCGAGCTCAGTCTCGCCTCAGCCCGCGGCCGGCCCGGCTGAATATGCACACTGTTCCTGTAATTGAAAGGCTCTCGCGGGAGACGGTCAGAGGCAGAATCAGATTATAACTGCAGCTCTGTTGTTAGAGCGGAAATAGCCCCGGCACTAAGACGCTTAGCGGTACGCGTGTGCGTCTGAGCCCGCTGCCGCAGAGCGTTTCCTTCTGACGTGCACCCGGCTTGGCTAATGGGTTGTTCGTTGACTTCGCATGGAGTGGGGCGGGCGGGCGGGCGGGGGGTTGGAGCAGCCCTGTCTCCTTCCGGCGCGCGCTGGAAGCTCGGTCGCACCCGCCCGCCGTCTGCGGATTTGAACAGAGTCGTTCAATCGCACTGGAACAGAGCATATGAACGCGTACGTGGGCGCCGAACTGCCACTAGCTCGCGGCGCGATGGACCACGGGTCGGGACCTCCCCAGCTCACGAACCTGGGAATGGGCAAGAGGGCATCGGAAATCGCTGGATGGAGGGTGACCTGATTGCTGAATGGGCCCGACCTCCCCTGCCTATTAGCGGTTCTCTCTTCATCGCTCCCGATAACTGGAAGCAACCGATCCGAGCAGACAGGTATGATTGTGGCATGAGGGCCGGCTGGGGATGAGCTGAATGCGTTAGCAGCCGAGAGCTTTCCAGAAGGACCTCGGCTCTGATTCACGCGATTTGAGAACCACGAAATGAAGGGTTGAAGCGCGCTCTGTGAACAGCTCATGGCGGGATGGTACGCACCCGGACTTGCTGAGCGGACCGGGTCGCGGTGATCAGCCTCTTCGCACGCCGGGCTCACGCATGAGACTCGGTGATGGCCCACCAGGCTGCCACAGCAGCGCTCCCGCCCCCTCTTCCTCGCAATCCGTGTATCCGAACGATTCATTGAATTCGGGTTTGCGTTATTAATTTGGTTCGGATTGTGGTTGCCTACCCGATTTGGATTGGCATTCGGATTTTTGATTTTGGTGGTCGACCTATATGGTTGGGAGCTACGACTACATATTGTTTGGTATCTTTAGCATCCAGCTTTCTACAAATTTCTTCTGCGTTACTGGACGAAGTCACCTCAGTTATCTCCAATAATGTAGCCTCAGCAGCACAATGATATTGGACTTCACTGAAATGCGGAAGCTTTTTATTTGGAGACGGTAATATTATTATCTATGGCTAATTGGCTCTGTCGGCTTGAAATGGTTTCATGCACGGATGTTTGCGGGCAAATAATTTCACTAGCATGGTCAGGAATTGTGTTTACGTTGGTGGGGAAAACGCGCCGAACACCGAGCAGACATGTCCCCCCACGGATGCAAGCCCAGTGATGCACAGCGAACACCGAGGATGCTTCCACAATGCCACGGGAGTTGCCATACATGGTATTTCACTCATCTGGCGCACAAACCTAATTTTGAAGCGTTTTGATGATTCTTTTACTCTCGACTTGACCTGGCTGACTAGATAGCTCAGTGGTGTGGTGGTGGTCTCGTGTGCAGAGGAGCCTGGCTCGAATCCTAGTCGCTCTACGGAGAAAATTCAGGTTGTAACGTGTACCCAGTCAAAAACCAAATGTCACTCAGCCTTTCTGAGGAGTCAATATGACCTGACGACACGCAGAGAGTTATCTGGCTGAAGCGGTGCATACATACTAGTAACACATCAGACGTGAACGACAGGCCAAACATTTGTTCTATCCAAAAATTGAGATGTTCGAATATGACCATTTTCACTCTTGCCTACGTAACTGTTAGCTTGTGCGCGCAATGGTATCGGGCCTCGCTAACACTTTCCCGGGGCTTTGTTGCCAGGTGCCCAAATCGCGCTGCAGCCAAGACCCGCCCACAAGCCGGGAACCGTGCAACTTCGTGGCCTGCCCCAAATGGTACCAGGGCCCATGGTCGGTGGTAAGTCCAGCGCCAGTGTTACCGAGGCCCATGGTCGGTAGTAAGTCAAGCGCCAGTGGTACCAGATCCCATGATCTCAGGTAAGCCCAGCGCCAGTGGTATCAGGGCCCATGGTCGGTGGTAAGTCCTGCACCAGTGGTACCAGGGCCCATGGTCGGTGGTAAGTCAAGCGCCAGTGATACCAGATCCCATGATCTCAGGTAAGCCCAGCGCCAGTGGTATCAGGGCCCATGGTCGGTGGTTAGTCCTGCTCCAGTGCTTTCAGGGCCCATGGTCGGTGGTAAGTCCTGCACTAGAGATACCAGGGCCCATGGTCGGTGGTAAGTCCAGCGCCAGTGGTGCCAGATCCCATGATCTCAGGGAAGTCCATCTCCAGTGGTACCAGGGCCCATGGCCGGTGGTAAGTCCTGCACCAGTGCTTTCAGGGCCCATGGTCGGTGGTAAGTCCTGCACCAGTGGTGCCAGATCCCATGATCTCAGGTAAGTTCATCGCCAGTGGTACCAGGGCCCGGTGGTCGGTGGTAAGTCCAACGCCAGTGGTGCCAGATCCCATGATCTCAGGGAAATCCATCTCCAGTGGTACCAGGGCCCATGGTCGGTGGTAAGTCCAGCGCCAGTGGTGCCAGGGCCCATGGTCGGTGGTAAGTCCAGCGCCAGTGGTACCAGGGCCCATGGTCGGTGGTAAGTCCAACGCCAGTGGTGCCAGATCCCATGATCTCAGGTAAGTTCATCGCCAGTGGTACCAGGGCCCATGGTCGGTGGTAAGGCCAACGCCAGTGGTGCCAGATCCCATGATCTCAGGGAAGTCCATCGCCAGTGGTACCAGGGCCCATGGTCGGTGGTAAGTCCAGCGCCAGTAGTACAGGCCCCACGGCCGGCGGTAAGCCAGCACCAGGGAACATGGAGAAACCTTATGTTGAAAAGGAAAGGATCACTGACAACAATATAATAGCAGTGAAATCCGCTGTTTGGGTAACTAGAAATTGACATATATATGGCCTCGGCAAGAGCAATTGTACATGACAAGGGGACACGCATTGATGTCAAGGCAATGCTCATAAGACTTAGAGCAGTCGCCATGCGCTTGCCATTCCACGTTATTTAAGCATGAAAATAGTCGCAGATGCTGGGCTGCTGCCGTTTGGGCCAGTTTGGAAGTGCTATTTTAAATTTTAGTAGAAACAATCTCCCAATTTCGAGCATTGCAACCTCTCATTTGTAGTTCAAAAGGTATACTATGGAGGATAGCCGGGACGGGAGCGATCTCCTCTGGGGTATTTGATGAGAATGCAAAGCCGCGTATTCCGATGCACATCGCACTTTATTCCACATTTAGGCGATGCATGCATTGCTCTCCAATAACATCACCGTAATACCACCCCACTGCTCGCAGTCAAGACTTTTTCCATCTTAAGTTTCACCACGAAGGCGCTCTGCTGCTGTAAAAAGGTGATGAGGGTGAAAAAGTATTGGGAAACGGTAAATCCGCACTATGCAAGTAACGAGCAAAACACTAAACATGGCAGCTCCACTTAAAATGAAATGGTTCGGAAATCTACTTTACTGTGACCTTTTCCAATACGAACTGTTACTGGTCACGCACGATATGTATAATCAGGCCCAAAGGCACGTGTCGTATTGTGCTATCAATATTGATAATTGACAGTGAGGCTATTTTTTCCTTCCAAACGCGCAGAACACACCACATCGTGAGTGGCGTTTGTGTTTTGTGCGTGCCCTCGTAGATAAGCACGTTCTGCCTCTACTGGAAGCCAAATGCTCGAGAAGTCCGGAGGGAGATACTTACTGTTTACTGGGCTGTGCCACGCTCTGTAATCCGTTTAAGGGTTTTCGGGCTGTCGGGTTGCTGGACCCGCCCGGGAGTTTGCGCTCCGTCTGTAACAATTAGGTGAGCCAATTGTTGTATGCAGCCCAATGCGAAGATCGTGGGGGCTGCAAGGCGTGCTGGTCTTGAAGGGGTCTGCTGCTCCGGACCTTCATGTCAAAACGCGCACCGCTTCGGGTAGTCCTCCAATCAGGCTGATATGCTAAGTGATAGATGGTGACTGATGTGCCCTCCAATCTGACACAGTCGCGGGCGGGCGCTGACGTGGCCGCCGTCTCGTCCAGCCGCGGTCGATGTCTCCGGCCCCGGCGACCCGGTCGGCGGTCCGTTCCGGGGTCGGGGCGCCGGTTCCGAAGCCGGCGACGCGGCGCCCCCCATGGGGCGTCTCTTCCTGCTTGGCGGGGCGGGCTGGGCCGCGGGTGGTCCAGAGCCTACCCCCGCCCCCCGGCGCCGGCGCCGACGCCGACCTCTGATCCGACACACTCAGACGACGCCTGGCGTAGCTGCGGATCGACCCACATGACACCACTTAGTGGTGTCGCTTAGTGGTGTCACGGGTTCAATGGGACAACGGTGCTCCCCTTGAGACACCGCCTGCGAACGACATGGCGGACGAGTCGGACCCTGTTACCCCGTGCTGACCTCGGGCCCGGCGGACCGTGGACCCTGACCTGAAGCCGATCTTCACGACCGGCTACTCGGCGCTGCCTCGCCCTGCGCTGCCATCAGGCTGGTCTCGCAGATCTGTTGCAGACGAGATACATTATATCCACGGCGTCGTATTTACCCGGGAGGATCGACACATGTGATGTTGGGTTGTTCACAGCGACTCTGGCGGAACGGAAGAGCTACCTACCGTTGCACGCATTTTTTTATGTCAAGATGGACCGTATGCATTCACCTCAGCAGAGGAGATGACTGTGTAGAAAGTCAAAATAGCGAAGCTCTTGTGCAGACACTTCTCAAGTACGTGGGGTCAGAGATGTTCTCATGTTCTCATCTACTGGCCGCCCACGTTGGTCGAATAGTGATGCTTAAAACCTTTCGTGATTTTTCCCTCACCAGTGCCTGCGGTACCTTTATTCTGGCTGGGCCCTGAAGTGACTATTAAAATGAAATTCACACGACTGCATGTGCGTTTATTGAGCCAAACCTGTAAAAATTTGATCAAAACGGGTCCCCGCTGAGCCGAAGATAGATCGTAGGAGAATCCATTGAGGAGTTATCGGTTCCGGTTCTCCGCGAACAGCTACAGAGACATCGATCGTGATCAACGAGTTCGGCTACCCGCATACATAATGCATAACGTTTTGCAGTGTTATTCATGCATACATGTATGCATGGCACACATTGATGCAGAGGTATACAACGGTTGCATCATAACTAATTATCTGGTTGTGGTAAACGTCTTGGCAGTTGCGTAAACGTATCGAGTGCAGAGTGTGTATTGAGTTGTAGTGGTTTTCAAGTTTGATACATGCCCCGTGAAACAAGTCACATTTTGAAAGGAATTTCCTAGCCGAATCAACTAAGGATATAGCGCAGCCCTTCAACTCGCAGAATTTAATCAACGGTGTTCTCCGTTGAATTACTCAGTGCTATTTGCTATGCCGAGGCTTCAAAAGCTTGATTTTGCCTCGTGCTACAGGCAGAGGCTCGGCAACAAATGAAATTATCAAGTGTGGCTGCTGGTGCTGTTTCATCGCGCAGCCGTCGCTCAGGGTGAAACAAATAATTTCGGAAAGTTTGCCATCTGCTTGCCAAGAGTGTCTGAAGTTTACTGAATCATCGGAGAAGAATGCCTCAGATTTTTCGTCATCAATCCGTTCAGATTTCCGACGCAGTTGGGGCTTAACCCTCAACCGGGCGTGTGTTTGGTGGTATCAGTACCAGTAGCAGTATCAGTAGATTGGAAACCCTCCACATAGTGGCTATTACGGTTTCAGGTCATACAGGCGCAGTATAAAAAGGCATACACAAAAGGTATAGACCAAAATGATACCAACAGTGGTCGAAGAGCTAAAACAGGCCCATCAGTGCACTGCGGGCTGGACCAGATCGGTGGTCAGTGGATAACATAACAGCGCGTATGTTTCTCGGGTTTGAAACAGCGGCGCGTGAGACAAAAAGCGCGCGGACATTGTGACGCGCACCGTCCTCCTTCAGCGCCCCAAGCACTTAAATCACGTCGCGGTGTGCCACCGTGACCTCGATCTTCAGCCATCCCAGGGAACTTAGAGCCAGAGTTTTATGATGGCGCTTTTTGGAACCGGCAATTACTCTTGGAGCAAACTTGATTGCTTTTTTGAACTTTGCATTGTTGACTGTCTCCCCGTTGCACACTGAGACGATCTGAAGTAAAGGAATGACATAATTGGTACAGAGAAACGAGGATGCCGCTGTATTTTTCACGACGTTCGAGACATGGGCACGCCGCGACAGACCGGAGTCAACTATGCCGCAGATAATTTGGATACTGTTTGAAGCAGGCTCAGTCGAACTGCTAACTTCAAGTGGAAGTCAGCTGACTTTTTAGCGTTTTGCTTGGATCCCACGAGTATAGAGGCAATTTTTGTTTCGTTCATTTGGAGAGGATCGGTACTGAACCAGTTCTGAATCTCACGCATGGCAAGTTCTCGTCTGGTTTTGAGGTCGGCGAGACCCGTTCCGTCAGGGCGCGCGCAGTCCACGTGCATGGTTTCGTTAGCGTAGGAGATGAGGCGGCCATGAGTCAAGTTTCTGTGCAGATCGTTGGTAAACAAAATTCAACAAATTGGACCGGTGATCGAGCTCTCAAGTCCACTGCATGGCATGGGGTGAGTGGGCCGTCCTCCACGCACAACCTGCCCTCGACCACTCAAACAGCTCTTAAACCATCTCGCATCGGTAACGCCCATACCAAAACAGCTTGGTGAGGTGGACGTGGTCGACGCTATCGAACAACTTTGACAAACCGATCGTCGTTACCGACGATACGAGACCGCCGTCGTTGTTGGTGGCCAGACGTTCGACTGCGGGGAGCATGGCATCCTCGGTCGAGTGGTGCGTTCCTAGAGACACTAGGATGATGCAGCTGTCCTGTCGCGTTTAAACACTCCGTTAGCTGTGTGCAAGCTAATAACACTTGGAGGGGGTTCTGGAATAAGTTTCGAAC